GGCCAGAAACATGGAATCAAATTTACTACTTCTGTACTTCAGCACTTCTTTTAGTTCATACTTCACAAAAACCTGAGTGCTCATGTTGAAAACAGTCAGTTTGCTGTGATCAGGTTAACATGGTTCCTAGCGGGTAGCCTCATTTTATAAGTTCTTTGATCAAGGCATTATAGAATAGAAAAGAATACCTGCTCTGCATCAGTCCCTAATCCAAAACTCATATGAAACACACTAAATTACAATGGCTGCAATTCATAAGACTTTCCGGCTCACATACGGCAAAATTTAGATTCCAGACATTATCATAATAAATAAGATCGACCACAGATTCAAAGATTGATAGAATCCTATAGAAATCCGATCGTCGGAATGCATGGGGATTTCAACAATAGGAAATTATCGGAAACGTATGAGTATTCGATTGTCGGATCCCATCGGAATTCCGCAATCCGGATTTCGATCGGATTTTTGTCGGTTTTCGGGTCCGATTGGATCCGTCATCGGATTTTTGGATCTGGGTAGTATCAAGAAAGGTGCCTATGTATCAGATTCAGTCCGTGCGAATCCACAGAATACGGTTTCATTAATAATTTCGTATGTAAAAGTCAAGGAGTACCTAAAGAGACGGCACATTAGAGAGATTAATAGAGCTCCTTTGAAACAAAATAGGGTGTGGGTGTGGTGGGGGGGGGGGGGTGTGACTGGGTATAGGTGTGGGTGTGGGCAATATGGGTGTATTGGGGGGAGAGTGAGTGTAGCTGTGAGTGTAGGCGCAGATGTGGGTTTGGGTGTGTGGATGAGGGTGGGTGTGGGGTGTGGGTGTGGGTGTGGGTGTGGGTGTGGGTGTGGGTGTTGGTGTCGGGTGTGGGGTGTGGGTGTGGGTGTGGGTGTTGGTGTGGGGTGTGGGGTGTGGGTGTGGGTGTTGGTGTGGGGTGTGGGTGTGAGCTAAAAGAAGGATCACACCCACCCACACCCACCCACAACTACCCACACCCCCACACCCACACACCCACACTCACACCCACACCCTCATAACAATATTATCCCATTGAATGTAAGTATACTTATATTATTAAATATGATATTATTTACATAATTACTGCAATTATGGGTTTGATTGGTCGTCTCGTTACTATTTTTCAACTAGTTATTCCACGACTAGTTAAAAAAATTTGACAATATTGGTTTAATCGACGTCATCATACGACAATTCAATCTATTACAACTGAATCGATTCAGAAAACACATAACACTTGAACTCTTTTTTGTTTATATATTATGCTTTCAGTATATTTCAAATGTCAATCATTTATACATATTGAAAAATCACAAGGAAATTATTGCTACAAATCAAATGATTGGACCAAGATTTTATTGTATGATAGACTTGGAGCACGTCGAGAGAAAAAAAATTTTGCCGTACTTCTTTCACATAAGTGTCTATTAACGGGCATCTGCGTCTTGTTTTGATAATTGTAGACGGAAGTTATCAAACTGTACATAGTTCCAAGAAGATCCAATGGCAACTAGCCCGCTAGAACTAGATACTTTCAGTTCACAGCTACCAACGAAATTACCGTTAATATACGCTTCTGAATGATCTGACAAGACGGTAAGTGTCAGTGTGTACCAAGTGCCAGGCTTGATAGACACGCTTCCGTAGTTCAATGGATTGGTAATGGCCGTACTAGCAGTTAGCTGCCATAATCCATTGTTTGTTGTATTGATGCTGAATACAATGGCCGGACTTCCAACACCTGCAGCATGACAACCTCCTTGTGAAACTCCGATAGCAATGAATGCAGTTCCAACACTCTCAATCATTACATCCGCGCTGACGGTCAATGGTTGCTGCCAATAAGAATCTCCAATAATCGAATATGGATATGGCGCTTCTCCGTTGCACCAACTAATGGGAACTTCAGTAACCGTTTGTCTCATAACTTTGCCACGACTACTGAACGTATCGAAGATCTGCCATGATCCCGACTGATCAGTGAAGAATGCAGCCTCCGTAGATACATCATAGTGATCAAAGTCATCCTGATATGGAAGTGGAAATGGCATCGAAGCTGGCGGAGCTGCGTATGCACCTTTTGTACCGTTAATCGTTGATAACGTGTACAATACACTGACTGACAACTGAAGTGTAAATGTTCCATTGTTCAGTGTAATTGTTCCGTTATAGATGAAAGTTTGATCAACATCGGTTGTGTTCAAATTACTGAAGAATACAAAGAATTGGGTTATGTGAGCGAAGGAACTATCAAGTTGAAAAGTAGCTGTTTGGTCAGTCGTATTATAGTATACCGAACCGGGCCCTGCGCATTGTGAAATGTTACGTTTCATTGTTTCAACGATAATCGTCAACTGTTGACCAGTTGGTTCGGTCAACGCTACATAGCTACCACCATTTTCCAGTAATCCAACGCCTGTCCCGTGCTGTAGAAAGAACCAACCCGATCTCGTGAACTGTCCCCAATGCGCCACTACCCATAGGACTTGTCCGATTTCATAAAATCCTGACCATGGCTCAACAGCACGCAGTATTCCAGTACCAGCGTAGATTAGTCTATCGTAGAATGAGTTAATTAAAGCCCAAGCAATACTTGCGGTTAAGTTAGCGCGAACGTAGTTTTGATTTAGTTCTCTTGCCCAACATGTCGCTCCCTGATTCCAAGTGACCAACATATCTTCACTTGCCCATTGAACCTTGTTAAGAGTGGCACATATTGGTTCTATTTTGGCACTAGGGTAGTGAGCACCGATGACATCTACAGCAGCCGCCCATTGAGGATCTCTGGATAAATCGTCGCAAACATTCCATCCTGAGTCAGAGTCATGACCGACAATTTTCGTCTTTAGTCTAGCTGCAGTGATTGCTGCATTGAGTGCAAGAGTATAAGCCTTATTTCAACTTCGTTCATTCCAAATTCCAATATAATCGATATCGAGATTATAATATTTCTTAGCGCCCAATATCCATTTCATGATGTATAAAACAGTGCTATTAGTCCAAGGAAGCTTTGTTCCTTCGCCTACCCACCCAGGAAATCCCCAGCTTAGGCCATAGAGAGTAATGTTTGGATTGCGCCGTTTCGCTTCCACCATAAGTGTCCATTCATAACCCCGTTCATAGTTGTCGTCATCAATCGAATGCATATGCGATGGTTCCGTTCCATCAGTCGATTGCACGTCGCCACCAATTTCAACTTTGAGTATTTGCAACGAAGCACCGAAGCCTGGCAAAAACAGATAATCCATTATTTGATTGTACCAAATCATACTGTAATCTGCAAGCAAGCGTGTGCTGGCACCAGCACTTAATCCACCAATGCCGTCAAATCGTCGACCCAAGCCTTTTGCCTTACTGACAGCATATGTGGAGTCCGCAACAGACGTCGATAGGAGTGTAAGGAGAACGGTGACAACGCCAATGGTATTCCTCAGTATCATTGCTTTCATCAATATATACTAAACTTATGCAGATACCTGAAACCACAAAAAAGTGCTTTAAAATTCTACTTGAATTTCAGATAATTAGTGTCTATTGTAGAGTTTTCCTAAGACAAGACGGTAACGAAAGTCCAAGATATCTCAGTTATATCAATACATCGAGTAAGTGTTCCTCCATATAACCTAATATGCCATGTGTCTCGTGAATTCAGCATATTGAAAATATAAGGCCTAACATTTGAATATTTTCCCCTATTTCAATGTTCAACCATTCTAATAAACCTGAAGATATTGAAATAAAGTAAGACTCACCTACTCAAATAGGTACCAAAAAAAAGAGAATATCCTGTTCGTCTCAGAAGGATGATGATGTTTTGCCGGCTCTTCTTGTATATCATGGTCGAACTACAGTGGAAATACCAAGAAAGAACTAATCAAAAATTGAACATACACGAATATCATCGCTTTACAATCTCTTGCCGTTTTTATTCCTCGCACAAGGCTATAAATCTGCAAGAAAATATCGCTGATTCTCTATGAATCTGTCTGCAAGACAACATAGAAGATGGGATACGTTAATTAACTTGAAACGATGCTACATATTTCACAACGAGACACATTCATGTCAAAGCTGCAGTCTGTGCTTACCACTCATTAAAATATTCTTATCGCCTGTGCATTAGATATCGTCAAGTGCACAACTTCGTAGATAAAGTTTCATAAGCAAAATGAAGGTAACAGTAGTAACACCATTAAAAAAGAAACAAAATCTACTGCTGTATACTTCAACATCACTGCTTTGTTCTCAATTAATCATGACAATGAGAGTGTTGTGAGCAAAGAAGGGTATGGTGTGGGTGTGGGTGTGGAGTGTGGGTGTGGGTGTGGAGTGTGGGTGTGGGTGTGGGTGTGGGTTGCGAGTATGGGGTGTGGGTGTGGATGTGGGTGTGGGTGTGGGTACGGGTGTGGGTGTGTGGGTGTGGGTGTGTGGGTGTGGGTATGGGGGTGGGTGGGTGCGGGTGTGGGGCGTGGGTGTGGAGTTTGTGTGGGTGAGAGTGTGGCTGTGGCTGTGTTGAAAACACAAAAATTGATAAATAGATTCAATGCTTGATACGACGCGTTTCGACTCATGCTCAATTGAGTCATCATCAGGTATCTTTAGAATCTAAAAACTACAAATTATCGAAACAAGTACAGCGAAACCTCTGTTAGTGAACACCCCTCCTAAGTGATCAACCTGTTATACTGAACACTCTCCGGTCCGACCGACGGAATTTTGCTTGTTTTCACCCCCTCCTATATGATTACCTAGACATTCTGAATGTGAACGCTTTTTTTCAGTCCCTACCATGTAAATATACCCTCTATAATATGAACATCGACAGATAGCGCCACCTAGTCTCGAGTTAACGCTATGCATTCAATTGGTTCATTCTACGATTCGTTATAAATAGAGAAAGAAACAATGAACACATTCAATATCATATGTGAATAGAATAATAAAATTAATTTTTTTTGTTTCTTTATCATCGTTTATTATAAATATGACCACTCGTCATGAACTTTGTCTTGAAGAAAAAATTAATTTAATAAGAGAAAAAGAACAAGGTTTATCTCACCGTGAACTCAGTGAAAAATTTGAAATATCTCTTGGTGCAGTCTCCAACATATTGAAACGCAAGTGTGAATATACCAATGATTATGAAACAAATTGTAATAAAAAACTTAAAAGAAAACTAAAAGATGATTTACGTCAAGAAATAAATGATAACGTGTACGAGTGGTTTGTTGCACAACGAGCGAAGAACATACCTATATCGGGTCCTATACTTCAAGAGTATGCTCGAGAAATTGGTAAAAAATTGGATCATTCAAATGAATTTAAAGCAAGCAACGGGTGGCTTGATAGATTTAGGACCCGCTACAATATAAATTTTAGAATTATTTCTGGTGAAAGTAGATCAATTGATGAAGATACAATAATTGATTGGAAATCTCGATTGTCGAACATTATTGAAGATTATGACCCTCATGATGTGTTTAATTGTGATGAAACCGCCTTGTTCTACAAATTAATGCCTGATAAATCATTAGTTGTGGACAAAAATGATTGTAAAGGCGGGAAAAAATCCAAAGAACGATACACCGTGATGTTATGTACTAATTGGACCGGAAGTGAAAAGTTAAAACCTGTTGTTATAGGTGAGTCAGTTGTCACCAATTACTATTTCATATCAACTTTTTTTTTCTATTTATGTTTTAGGTAAAGCGAATAGGCCAAGATGTTTTAAAAATATTGACATAAAGAAATTGCCGGTCTTATGGTGCAGCAATCGTAATTCATGGATGACATGTAAAATTTTTACTGAATGGTTAATAGATCTTGATTCAATTATGAGGAAACAAAAAAGACATATTCTTTTGTTTCTTGACAACGCACCAGTTCATCCCCATGATGTACAACTGGAAAATATCAAGTTAAAATTTTTTCCAGCAAATACTACAGCAAAAATTCAGCCTATGGATCAGGGAGTTATTCGAGCATTCAAAGCTTATTACAGACGCAG